ATACATTAAATATTGATCGGCCTTCAATTTTCGGTACTGACTGATTCTCTAATTTCTTTACAAGAGAATAAAAATTGATACGATTCGTTCTTTTATCCGACTTAATTTGTTGAATAAATTAGTGGGGTAAGTACCTGCAAGATGAAAACAACTTGTCATTGCACTTGGACAATTTTCTTGACATTGATTTATGGTATTGATCAGTCTTCGGTTTTCGGTACTGATTTATTTTCTCATTTTTTTATAAGACAAAGAAAATTGATACGAGTCGTTCGTTTATCTGAGTTAATTTGTTGAATAAGATTAGAGGGGTAAGTACCTAAAAAATGAGAACAAATTGTCATTGCACTTGGACAATTTTTTTACACTGATTTATAGTATTAATAGATATTCGATTTTCGGCACTGATTTACTCTTTCATTTCCCTATAAGAAAAAAAAATTCATACGAATCATTCATTTATCCGCGTTAATTTGATGAATAAATTAAATATTGATCGGTCTTCAATTTTCGGTACTGATTTATTCTCTCATTTCTTTATAAGACAAGAAAAATTGATACGAATCATTCGTTTATTCGAGTTAATTTGTTGAGTAAATTAGAGGGATAAATACCTGAAAAATGAGAACAAATTATCATTGTACTTGAACAATTTTCTGACTCTGATTTACGGTATTGATCGATATTCGATTTTCGGTACTAATTTACTCTTTCATATCTCTATAAGAAAAAAAATTCATACGAATCGTTTATTTATCCGCGTTAATTTGATGAATAAATTAAATATTGATCGGTCTTCAATTTTCGGTACTGACTGATTCTCTAATTTCTTTATAAGAGAATAAAAATTGATACGAATCGTTCTTTTATCCGACTTAATTTGTTGAGTAAATTAGTGGCGTAAGTACCTGCAAGATGAAAACAACTTGTCATTGCACTTGGACAATTTTCTTGACATTGATTTATGGTAGTGATCAGTCTTCGGTTTTCGGAACTAATTTATTTTCTCATTTTTTATAAGGCAAAAAAAATTGATACGAATCGTTCATTTATCCGTGTTAATTTGATGAATAAACTAAATATTGATCGGTCTTCAATTTTCGGTACTGACTGATTCTCTAATTTCTTTACAAGAGAATAAAATCTGATATGAATCGTTCTTTTATTCGACTTAATGTGTTGAGTAAATTAGTGGGGTAAGTACCTGCAAGATGAAAACAACTTGTCATTGCACTTGGACAATTTTCTTGATTTATGGTATTGATCAGTCTTCAGTTTCCGGAACTAATTTATTTTCTCATTTTTTTATAAGACAAAAAAATTGATACGAATCGTTCGTTTATCCGAGTTAATTTGTTGAATAAGATTAGAGGGGTAAGTACCTGAAAAATGAGAACAAATTGTCATTGAACTTGGATAACATTTTGACACTGATTTACGGTATTAATACGATATTCGATTTTCAGTACTGATTTCTCTATAAGAAAAAATTTCTCTATACTCTTTTATTTCTCTACAAGAAAAAAAAATTCATATGTATCGGTCATTTATCCGCGTTAATTTGATGAATAAATTAATAATATTGATCGGTGTTCAATTTTCGGTACTGACTGATTCTCTAATTTCTTTATAAGAGAATAAAAATTGATACGAATCAGTCGTTTATTCGAGTTAAGTTGTTGAGTAAATTAGAGGGATAAATACTTGAAAAATGAGAACAAATTGTCAATGTACTTGGACAATTTTCTGACTCTGATTTACGGTATTGATCGATATTCGATTTTCGGTACTGATTTACTCTTTCATTTCTTCATGAGAAAAAAGAAATTCATACGAATCGTTCATTTATCTGCGTTAATTTGATGAATAAATTAAATATTGATCGGTCTTCAATTTTCGGTACTGACTGATTCTCTAATTTCTTTATAAAAGAATAAAAATTGATATGATTCTTTCTTTTATCTGACTTAATTTGTTGAATAAGATTAGAGGGGTAAGTACTTGAAAAATGAGAACAAATTGTCATTGCACTTGGACAATTTTTTGACACTGATTTATGGTATTAATCGATATTCGATTTTTGATACTGATTTACTCTTTCATTTGTCAATAAAAATAAAAAATTCATACGAATCGTTCATTTATCCGCGTTAATTTGATGAATAAATTAAATATTGATCGGTGTTTAATTTTCGGTACTGACTGATTCTTCAATTTTTTTATAACAGAATAAAAATTGAATACGAATCGTTCTTTTATCCGACTTAATTTGTTGAGTAAATTAGTGGGGTAAGTACCTGCAAGATGAAAACAACTTGTCATTGCACTTGGACAATTTTCTTGACATTGATTTATGGTATTGATCAGTCTTCGGTTTTCGGTACTGATTTATTTTCTCATTTTTTTATAAGACAAAAAATTGATACGAATCTACCGTTTATCCGAGTTAATTTGTTGAATAAGATTAGAGAGGTATGTACCTGAAAAATAAGAAGAAATTGTCATTGCACGTGTGCAATTTTTTGACACTGATTTATGGTACTAATCGATATTCGATTTTCGGTACTGATTTCTCTTTCATTTCTCTATAAGAAAAAATTAATACGAATCGTTAATTTATCCGCGTTAATTTGATGAAAAAATTATTGATCGGTCTTCGGTTTTCGGTACTGATTTATTCTGTCATCTCTTTATAAGAACAGAAAAATTGACACGGATCGTTCGTTTAACCGAGTTAATTTGTTGAGTAAATTAGAGGGGTAAGTACCTGAAAAATGAGAACAAATTGTCATTGCACTTGGACAATTTTCTGACACTGATTTATGGTATTAGTAGATATTCGATTTTCGGTACTGATTTATTTTCTCATTTTTTTAAAAGACAAAAAATTTATACAAATTGTTCGTTTATCCGCGTTATTTTGATGAATAAATTAAATATTGATCGGTCTTCAACTTTCGGTACTGATTTATTCTCTCATTTCTTTATAAGAGAAGAAAAATTGGTATGAATCGTTCGTTTAACTGAGTTAATTTGTTGTGTAAATTACAGCGGTAACTACCTGAAAGTGAAAACAAATTGTCGTTGGACAATTTCTGACACTGATTTATGGTATTAATCGGTATTCGATTTTCGATACTGATTTACTCTTTCATTGCTCTATAAGAAAAGGAAAAATTGATATGAATCGTTCATTTATCCGCGTTAATTTTTTTTTTATTATATATAAGTGGTCCATGGGACGATTAAATATTCGAATACATGTTGCCGTATCAAAGTCTCCTCTATAATAAACGATTTGACACGTCTGGAGACGCATAATGTATCGTTGCCCGCATCCCGTTCCCTTCGTCCTGCTTGTCTGTATAAAATGTCGAATTGAAACGTATTAAAAAGTATTGACAGTTTGAATATGTCTGAATTCTGAATCTTTTTGATCCGAAGAAAAGGATTGAAAAGTATTAGTTTCTATTAAATTTTACTGCGCTAAATGCAAGACTGTCTCTTTCGCCCGGGTGCCTCACCAGGGAAATTTCTCTGGTACGCTAAATCCCGTAAGGCCATCAGTCTTTGTAGTATATTTCGTCGGTGCATAAGGTTTATATTACCTGTACATACATATTTTGAAACATTTTCTTTGGATATTATATCAAACGGATTTTGCGTGTTACGTAATATCCTTCGGACTACACGGACATTATTATTTTGATCATTTTGATTTCTTTGGTATTCATTGAATTATCCAGAACGCGCAACTGCCATGTTGAACGACTCAATTGTCGTGTGAAATGTATCGATTTTCACAAATTCATATACAATTTTTCATTTTTCACTGATTCACAGAAGTCTTTCACTTTTTATTAGTTCACGCTAGGGAAAAGATTCATGATCGCTGCCCCGAGCAGCTGCAACGCTTTTCGAATCATCTATGTCGGCGCGCTTTTACTCCTCAGATTTCTGTCATTAATAACTCGATAATTATTGCGAATCTCGCAAAATGGTATGGGACTTTTATGTTTGTCTCAACCCAATCTACCCTCACACTTCGGGTTGGCAGTTAATTACCGGACACTTCGTATGATCTTCATGATATTAATCATACACAATGTCAATTCTTTTTTTTTTGCACATGTTAACATGTTAATTCATGTTATAAACGCGTAACAATGTGCGTGACCGTGCTTGTCAAGTACGCAGTTATGGTTGTAGCACGGACATAAACCGCCTAAAAATGAATGTAACACGGACTGCCACCACATACAGGTTTTACCGTCGAAACCTGAAAGTGGATGTAGTTCCTCTCTCAAAATGGATACAGATGGCACCCTTTCCCAGTGCGGAAAGTCGGTGTCGTCGAAAACACCGTGTTGGCCGTTCTCACGTTCCTCTCTGGATGTACATACAATATTTAGAAAATATACAATATATATATTTTACAGTTTTTATAACATATTTGTAATATAATTAAACATCAGCTCAGAGAGATTTTTATTTTTCGTTAATAAAAACTCAGTTTCTGAACGTCATTAAAGCTGAATTTGAATTTTAACTTTTGAATAACCCATTATTTTTAGACTCGTTATTTTTATTAGTTCCAGAGTTCCCGCTACGAGTCGCCACCTGCGAACTGTAGAAGTCGTAGTACGACTCAACAGCAAGTCAAATAAGACTTTTAAGATCCTTAAGCTATTTTTTTAACTTGACAATGCATCAGGCAGAATTTTATTTTTTAGTATAATCTTTAGACTTGCTTTAGAATTGCTGGAATTGCTTTAGAAACTGCTAGTTATATTAGTAATTTTATGCGTATAATTTTACAGCTATATTTATTGAAAATGCAGCATATACATATATATTTTTATAATATTTATTTTCCAACGTATGCTATAAACAAAATAAACAGATTCTTAAAAATTTCCAATTTTAACAATTTCTATAATCACCGGAATTTTAAATATGTATATCGATAGTGGATAAAATAGAATGAATATATATTTGACTCGTAACTGCGCGCATCGCGGCACTGCGTGCGCCACTGCAGCTTAAAAACAGCTGAGCTTTTAAAACCACAAGAATGCTTTCTGGAAGCTTTGTCAGTCCTTCTTTCGAGTGCTCAGATACTGAGACAATAAGTTCTTTTTCGTTTGTCAGTTTCGTTTATGTTCTAAAGCGATGATCACCGCCAATTCGCGGCGTACTCGATACACCACGCGCGTTGTTATGTAAGTATAGATGCAGTGTATATGCATTTTAACACTGGGAACAGTCAATATTATTCTGCAGCTTGTAAATGGATCATCTAATATTCCATCTTTGAATAAATGACGTTTGTTATTCGTATATTGTCAAATTACAAACATGGCAGAGTGTTGTAGCTTCAGGATATTAATTCGCAATTGTGAGTGGCATAGACCTGTATGATCATTAATAAGGACAAGAATAACTAATATTCATAAATTTAAAGTTGATTTTTTTAATTATAATCTGTATAGTATTATATTTTTATATGTTAATTTCTGAAAAATGTCTAATTTCTTTAGAACTTATCAAGCAATAAAGTTGACAATGTTGTAGTTGATCATAGAACCGATATTTAACTCATTTTGTACATTAATATGTACAAAAATAATATAATAAAACATAATTCACATATTTATTTGTAAATTTACAAATTTCTATATCAATTTGTAACTTTTTAAATTATTCTAATCTTATATATTCTCAATATTTATACAAATAAATGCTATTTTATTAAAAGGATCAGTAATTATTCATTTCTAATCTTCAATTAAATCTGCAGCTCTCCTGATATCACTGCCAACGACGAAATATCCAGCATTTTAACAGAGCTATCAGAGTCAGATGTTGGAGGTAGTGAAGAAGTCTCATCTGAGGAGGAGCACATCATCTCCGATGCGGAACAAAAGCACGATGCTGAGCAAGACGCGTCTTTGTCAGACAATTCGAGCGACCGAGCGATCGACGATGCGAACGAGGATATTTACATTGGTAGAGACAAGATCACCATTTGGAAGAAGATTCCATGTACAAGCGGAACCGCTAACACGTTCAAGGAAGATACCAAAAAAGAAAACGTCCGTCACTTCTGTGAAAGCCAGAAGTGCGAGATCGTGGATGAAGTGTCGGCTCTCTTTAAGATTATCGACAATGGGATGTTAGAGGAGATCGTAGCCTGCACTAATTTGCTGATTGAGCACAAGCGCCTATCTCGCACGTATTCCAGGGAGAGAGACGTCAAATGGACAACGAAGGCCGAACTGTTGGCACTGATCGGTCTGTTGTATCTCACCGGTGTGAAAAGAGCCAACCACACAAATCTGCTGGAGTTGTGGACGGACGACGGTACCGGTTTGGAGATATGTCGCTCCACTATGAGTTACAGGCAAGGAATGCGCGAGACTGAGTATGAAAATCCAGCAGGTATCTTATCTACGAGAGCAGAAAGGGAATACTCGTCGCAATCACTACGTGTCAATTTAAATAACCAAGTTGCAGTATGAACAGGAGAATAACACAAATATTCTTACATATTATTTATTTAAATTACCTTATATTTCCTTTAAATTATATCAAAATTTAACAACTGTAATGTTAGGGAGATAAACGCTCGTTTCTCTTCTAATTTCTCTAAATTCACTGAAATTGTTTTACACCCCTCGGGTTGTATGATGCGAATTACATTTCTTTGCAGAATTTTAATCATCGAGTCCGATTCAACTTTTCCTGGTTACAGGAGATTTCTGTTCCTTCTGGATTGTCTGCGATTTGATGACAGAAGCACTAGGACCATGAGGCTGAGGACGGACAAGCTGGCGCTCGTGAGAAACGTCTGGGAGAAATTTGTACAAAACTGCAGGGACTCGTACTTGCCCAGCGAACACCTCGCCGTTGGCGACAGACTGCAGGCGTTCAGAGGCAGCAAATGTAGCTTCGTGCAATATATGGCTAACAAGTCGTGCACAGCAGCGAAATATGGGCTGAGGATCGTCGCTTTGGTGGACATCAAGACGTCTTTCACCTGCAACATGGAACTCTGCTGCGGTCAACAACCTGACGGTCCTTACAGGTAACGGTGGGCGTTTAGATTTCCGTCCAAAGTTTTCAGACAATGAGCTTACGAAAAGTACAAGGGAAAGCAGACTCGATGATTGCGAAGCCTCCAAATAATCGACAAAGGCTGATATTGATCTTTGTGTTGAAATAAATGATCGTTTCAATCTTTATAAAGACCATCTTCGACCTGAACTGCATTCTTATTTTACATTATTCGATTTCCATAAACTCTTAAGTTATTACTTTGCGATTTTAGCAAAAGCCCGATTGTTTCGAAGACTACAAAGTCAAAAATTCTTAGAAATCTTGAACATTCTAAATATTTAATGTATTGATAAAAGATACATAGGCATGAATTATATTGGGACAATTCTATCGACACAATTATATTTGTATCAACAATTATTACCAGCTATCATCTCTTAATGCCAAATATTACAACTGCATTACTTTGACCAGCTATAATACTAAGATTTTCAATATATTCAAGATTTTCGAAGCATTTAAATGATTCAAGAGACGATCGAGAATTGCTGGTTTCGAACGATACTTAAAACAATTCGAGACCTGTCGTACATAATCCAAGTGATTCTAAGTGTTCCAAACTTATCCACAGGCTCAGTGACGACCCTGCGGCCACCGTGCACAGGCTGATCAGTCACGTGAAAGGTTTCTTCGCCAACGTGGTGAGCTGCGACGGTCGTTACGCAAGTTATCCGCTCATTGTCTCGCTCTTAGACGACGGGATAACGTTTCTCGGTGCGGTGGGGACAGCTCAACCGGAGGTGCCGTTGTGTTTTTTACCACGTAAATCACGGCCCGCTGGCAGTTCGCTTTTCGGCTTCCGCGACGATGTCACACTGGTGTCGCACGTATCCCATGAGAAGAACAAGAAGACCCTCGTTATGCTGTCGAGCGGGCATCACGACGCGGACATCGACCCGCGGACCAACAGACCGGTGATCGTGGAGGACTACAATGCGGCGAAAGATGCGATGGATGCGATCGAGCGAACGCGCGCGATGTACTCCGTGTCGAGGAGGACAACCAGGTGGCCGTTGGCGGTGTTTTTCGCGCTGCTTGACGTAGCTGGAATGAATGCTCAGGTTCTCTACAACGTATCTCGCCGGGAGTCGCCGCATAAGTACCGAAGAGTCTTCCTGAAGAATCTCGCGCTCGCATTACTGAAGCCGCAACTGCAGGTAAGTGTTGAAGCGAGAACGAGTTGAAGGTTTCCGCTTAGACTTGCCAATAACTTTCTTCTGTAAAATGTTTAATAGATATAAATAAAAAAAGACATCAGTTTTATCATGTGAAATGCGTTTGTGCGTTTTAAAGATGATAATCAGATTGATACTTTGGACGTAGGAGCGAGCGAAGATCAAGACGTTACCTCTCAACATCCGGGCGGTGATCCTGCACCAAGTGGGTGACTGCGAAGGCAATCAGCACGAGTTGGAGCAGAGTTCCTCGAGGAAACGCAATCACGAAGTGATGAACGACGAGGGCGCAGCCAGGAAGAAAGGTCGATGTTTCATGTGCGGCCGAGCGAAGAACACCAGCACGACGCTCAAATGCCACAACTGCTCGAGGTTTACGTGCAAGAGGCACATGGCTTGTATAAAGTACACCTGCGAGAAATGCGAGACCAAAGCGAATGAAGGTAAGAGGTCACCCTCGCGAGCGTTGGCGTTGTATACGGCCAAATAAAAGATTTATTCTAATTTTTGCCAGACTCATCCGACTCGTCAGGCGAGACGTTTCGTACATAACTTCGCGCACCACCTCTCGAACCTGTAAGATATCACTGTATAGAAGATGTAAGTAGTATAAATAATTTCCACCGTATAATATTTTATTATATATATATAACGAATGTGTGACACAAATTTCAAGAATTTTAATCGATGAGATAAATTTGGAGATTTTTTACAGCAAACCGTTAATGTTACCAGAACTGTTAGGACATCACTGTACATTGCTTCGATATTTATAACGTGTGAATAAATACTTAATAAAAGGATATTTAAAATTAAGTTCTGTAATGTTCATTTTAGATTATAAAATTAGGAGAACCGTTTTGCGTATTATTGAAATTGAATCCTGAAATGTGCTCTCACAGAGACACAAAGCGTCACTTTGAGAAGATCTTGAGAATAATATTTGAAGATTTGAAGCTGCGAAAGCAAAGCGAAGCTTTCGACTGTTCGTAAATAATTTTGCAATGTGCGATACAAACGTTAAATGATCGTTTATTGATTATCATGTATATATTACATTGGCTACATCAATCCATTGTACCAACTTCCATTGTACTTACAATATACAATTGTTACAGAGAAATATCATGCTATCTTTTAACTTGACTTTTATACAATAATTTCAGAAATATACAAGTGTCGATTCAGCAACGTGGGTCGTCAGTAACCCACGCGCTTACATGAAAAGCTTCGTTGGCAATGTTGGGTGAAACACGATATCCGTAACCTAGGTGCATTGGCAGCTCAGGGATACCGTAAAGAGTTTATGGTCCTCAAGTTGATGCAGTCACGGCGCTTCGTCTCCGATTTCACTGTGATCGCGGGAACGCGACTTTTCGGGGACGTGTCACCGAAGATGCGAAACCAGTCATGTGGCAATTATTGTCGATGACTCCCACGGCGCGGATGATCAAGTACCGCGGTTATACTTGGTGTGAGAGCCTAGAGAAAGCAACAACAGTAAATTAAATGCAGGAGCTGAACGATCGATTGTTAGATCAGTAAAATCAATCTATACTCGTCGTTAAGTTTTTAACACTAGTCTTATCTATCGTTTCAACGTCGTTTTCAACAACTGTCGTTTGCGACTATTACTACTTGCTTACTCGAATGACTTGTCTGTTCTCGATTAGCGACCGAATCAATATCACTGAATCGTATTCTGTGGCCAGTTCTTCTAGCCGCGCGTGTCTATCCTTCTCTATCATAAGTTTCGAAAGCGGACGAGCCGAGTAATTATTGTCGCTTTTAGTTTCCTTTTTTGACTTTTTCTCTTTTTTTTTCTCTCTCAGAACAATCTGACCGCCTGACGAATTATCGTTAACCATCGTTAACGGCAGCTATCGTGTACACAAAGCGGTAAAATGACTCGTTTATGGGAACTCGTTTCGTGTGAAAAGCTGCATATATATAATAACTCGTAAACTCTTGTAGCGATAATAATAACGCGATACGAACGTCACCGCCGTAAATTCTTTTCGCGAAAAATGCGAATCTCTAAACGAAATCACCTCCACTCTTGTCCTAACGTACGCTTCTACTCAGTTGTAGCGAATATTTTATTCTTTTTTCCCTTTTCTTTTATCTCTTAGGTCGTGTGTGTTTATACGAGAGACATAAATATAAAGAAACGCAACTTTGCCTGTTATAGTCAAATGAACTTTCGTTTTGTTTCGATTTCGATACATATGTGTCGTCTGTAACATGTATTTTCTTTTGTTTCAATCTCATCTATGAGTATTCTACTGAACATGTATACTTTACACTCTATAAATGCAGCAGTTGAATTCTCGTCTGCTCCAATTAATTTTTCGTATGCATATAAATACGTACTGATCAAAGAGTGAAGCTAGAGAGAGGAATAAACTTTCGGGTTTCAAAACAAATGTCTCGGTCCAATGTCGAGCTTTCTTCGGTACAGGTTAAGTAAAATAAGAAGATAAAAAAATGATGAAGGAACTGATTGAGATTAACAAGAAGAAATTTCCAAGATTTATATATGAAGCTTGCGAAGTGACATAAGAATGTTAAATGATGCTTACTTATAGATAATTATATTTATTAATTCAAGCTTCAACATCTCTTTCTACCCGATGAAATTTTTCTCCTGACGAAATCAATATACATTTCGTTGCCATGAGGAATATTCTTCGAGACCTGATATGTATGTTGACTTCGGTAAGCAAATCTTACTTTTTTCTTATATTATCTTATTTTATACCCGACATTGAATATCTATTTCGTTTAATCGCGGTTTCCTTTTGTTAGTTTTTTAGTTAGTTTTCCCTATACCAAAGGAAGTTCAAAATTTGACCGAATCGTTCACTTTGAAATCTGATTGATCATCCTCTTCCTGACTTCACCCTCTCAATTTATTTACGTACGTTAATATCTGCGTTCCAAACTCACGTTTTTTTTTGCAATTAAACACATCTAAGAGCCTTTCCATTCTTATCATAAATATACGCATGTCCTTCTCTTTCCTCCTGTCTTCCCCTTTCTCTCAAAACTGATAGCTTTTCACAAAGAACGGATAGATATTTATTTGTATTTACTCACCTGAGCTTTTGGGTTGAGGTCTACTCGAGCATTTCATTTCATTTAACATTTACAGTATTTTGCTTTTTGTGCGCGTTTCGCACGACTCTCATGAGAGTCTCGTTATTTGTCTTGCTTGCTTTCCCCTGCCTTTTCTCACGTCGCAGAACTTTTACGAATTTCTGTTACTTCTTGGTAATACTTGTGCCGTCGAACGTGCACGACTATCGATCTACCATTATTTCATAGATCAGAGGAATCGCGATTAAAAACATCGTGTATAAAAAAAAAACTGTACATAATAAATTTATGTCCAGTAGATATTATTACACATTTATATAGGGGTTAAAAGTGTGAAGCGAAATTGTTCATAAAGCGTAGGACACTAATTGGTACGTATTACTCGAGCTTATATTGACTATATCAAGGAAGCAACCGTGCAATCAAGGATAATAAACTCTACCAATATTATTTTTATTGCTTTTCTCTTTTTGGGATTCTCTTTTTGTTAGTTATTTTTTTCGTTTATAGATTTTAACATGTTCTTGAAGGGACGATATTCTTTCTCTATCTTCGTCTCTCTTTTTCCCTTTCTCTCTCTCTCTCTCTCTCTCTCTCTCTCTCTCTCTCTCTCTCTCTCTCTCTCTCTCTCTCTCTCTCTCTCTCTCCTCTCTCTCTCTCTCTCTCTCTCTCCCCCTCTTTCTCTCCCTCTCTCTCTCATTCATTGTTTCCTAAGTATTTCAGCTTGTTGTTACGCCTGTGAAATAAACTAAGTTTTCGTCAAATTTTTCATTACATTAGTATTTTGAGTACTCGAGCACGCTGCTTATAGACTCTGTGTTATGCTCTAGTCGTACTTACTCTGGCCATTTCTTAATTTAATGCGTAACACTTGATTAGTATTATAATGCTAAACGATATGTTGTGATCGAGCTCAGACGGAATAAATATATCGTGAAATATAAACTCAACCTCGGCCTGAATTTCTCGATTCATTTTGCTCATGATTATGCGGAGAAATGGACGAGAGAGATATACATGTGGAGACTTACACATTTACCTCGAGCTGTAGTTACTGACTATTGATTGTTTGCAACGCTACGCATAAGTATGACGCAAGGGTGAAATATTAGAACTATTTTTGAAATAATGACGTCACACAACATGAAACTATAGAATTTACGATCTTCAGATTCTTTTGAATCTACTTTTTCTCTCAAGCTTTGGGTATTGTAAATCAAACCTTATACTTTCGTCAGTTTATATAATATATTCATACATTGTTTATTGTTTATTTTTATATTTCAAATCTTTGATTCTATGGTTTCTCAGATCCTGATCTCTACACCCTTCGTCCATAAGTTTTTTCGATAAATTTTGGAGTCGATTTTCCCTTAGTGAAAATACCGAGAGAAATTATTATTATAATCTCATATTTTTTTTTCCATTTTCAAGAATTGATTTTGTTTTTAGCTAAACACTACTGTCAAGTTATAAAAAAATTTTTACTTTTCACTTTACTTCTTAAATCAACATTTTTTCGTACTTTCTTTAATTCTAACAGTTAAAAACTACAGTTTTCGGCTCTCAGTGCTTTCATCAACTAAAAATCGGTTTTCAAATCGATCGAAGAATCTGTGAACGAAGGAACGATTTAAGGCTCGGTAGATCCACGAAAACCTAGCAGATCGCCCGAGCAGGTAATAATCTCTAATCTACTAGGATTTCGTAAAAAAACTTCATACCTACTTCATCGCTACACTATCGAGACGATTTTTCGCTCAATTATCGCTTATTCGCCCACTCGCTCTTTGCGAGATTAGCCTGTCTCTTCCTAGGGCAGTTGCTGGTCTTTTGCGTCCGTACTTTTTTTCTGTGTCTCTCTCTCGTGCCGGAGGTGAGGTGACAATAACAGCAAATCTTCGGTGTGATGATTTTGTACAATTTTTTTTCTTTTTTCTGCATTCATCATGTCTTTCATTTAAATCGAACTTACATTATATCGAAACATGACAATACGACTGTCGTTATACGCTTTATAAATATATAATTTTCTGTGTGTGTATATGTGTGCATATATATTCGTAAAATAAAAGTTCATCGTATACAAGAAATGCAGTATAAATTTCAACAAAAGATTTGTTAAGTATAAGTTAAAATAACGTAAGACAATTCGACATCATAGAATGCAATCGTTCATTTTCCTTCCAGTATCAATCGTTTCATTCCGAATACTACAATTTTTCGCCGGATGAAAGACACTAGAATAAGAATTAGAATCCTCTCAGTTCTCTCAGATTCTTGTAGTTTTTCGACGATCAACTGGTTATTTCCCAAGTTTTTTGAAGAGTTTTCAAGCGACAACTGTCGATTGTTATATTGGCTAATAATCAACAATAGTGCGGTGACCGTTTACCGAATTACGCACAATTATAAATATCGAAAATAAAAATCGACGGTGTCTTTGGTAATTGCGTGTGATTCAGGTGTATAAAAAATATATATATGTCGGAGATTTCACTAAATTAAAAAATATAAGACCCTCGCCTTTAAAGATGTGAAATATGCAGTTCTACATTTCGCGCGTTGTGTCCTTTTTTCAATCAATGGGTTTATTTACGAGTTTCTATTTACACAATAGGAGATTGCCCATACATTTGCAATGTGTCGTTAATAATTGTTATCATTCTATCGTTTATTGTTGTGTATATATGTTGATGAGTGTGTGTTCAAATTACTGTTAATATTAAATTACACTATTTTCCGCTTAAATCGTGGATGAGACAAGATCGACAAGAGCGTGGCGCCTCGTCGGAGCTACACTTAATTCTAGAGATCGTCGTATAAGCGACATAATGACGTGGTAGTAGTAGTAATAGTAACTGCCGAGTGTCGAGTATAAAATATTATTTCCCTACATCATCGAGTACGTGTGTGAATCGATTGATCAAAAGTCATTCTGCGCGCGTGACGAACGGGATAGCTAAACGGGAACGGAAAAATCCTTCGAAAGCAAAGTGATGCGGAGAAAGTTGGAAATCAGCGGATACACGAGTATCACTTTTTGACAGATATGAAGCCGATTTTTCCCCGGCATAAATTTTTATTGCGGTTTCAACAAATTATTTTGTTGAATTATATAACTATGTTATTTCATTTTTATTAGTTAAATAATAATTTTAATAATAATAATAATAAATGTAATAATGTGTGTGTATATATATATATATATATCTCAATATATATTTTTGTGCAAAGTAAAGTGTTCTACATTTGTAAAACTTCAATTTTAACGACGGATATTCCGATTAATTCGAAATTGAAGATCAGAGAATTGTGGTACTCTGTATATTCAGGTCTTTGCACAATATTCTATCGTATAATAACTATATAAACCACTTAAAATAAACCGAAAATAAAATATAAATTATTCGACACGTTGACTGCCACGAATTGATTGTCCCAGATTTTATTAGTTCTGGATAGTTCCGGAGTTGGCAATAAAGTTTGAATATTCGAAATCATAGCAAATATACATACTGATGTTTTCTGATATATTTATATCTGATATGTGTCAGCCTATACATCAGTTGGTTTTCTCGGGCAATGAACGTGTCAACACAATATGAATATTTTTATGTAACGTGTAAATTTGTACTTTATATACACTATAATTCATAATCTATTTACTCCATCCATAAAATGGAATAAAATTTACTCTATTTATATAATCAAATCAAATATAAACAAAAAATAATTTAAATAATATCACCTCCACACTTTATAAATTATAAGCTTAAACGCGTTTTAACAAATTAGCAAAATATAAAGATGAGCATGACTCAATTTTAATCGAATTTGACAGTTTATAGAATAAAAACGTTAAAATGATTGAATCAAATAGAAATCTTATATCGAAAAAAATCAGCTTCATACTTGTCAGAAAGCGTCAATTTCTATACGTGTAAATACCACCTTTCCCATCTTTCCCAGGACTATCCTACGGAGAATGGAAATCAAACATGTGATATACATGATTTTTCGCGATGATTTTCTCTTTCATGAGACTTTGCTTTCAAGATTTTCCGATTATTTTTATTATTTATCGTCATCGTCGTAGTCGATTCTCTTATCTCACAATTTCAAAAGAGAGATACATCTAACACTCTCTTCCTCTAACTCTTTACGCGTGGCGATCGAATCCTCATCTTTTATCTATGAATTTAATTTTAATTCTTTTTTTTTGTTTTTTTTTGCTTTTCTCTGAAGAAAAATGTTGTCTACCTACATATAAAATTAACGAGCGGATTTACTGTGTCGAATCTTTAATAACGTCGCTGAGACTGGGCGTTTTGGTAACCAGCACTGCCACCTGCAAACAACCATAGCTCCTCCGTTCAATTACTCGGGAAATAGAATTCGTATTCTGCCTCTCTATATACATTACGAAATATTATTGTTTCTTATTCGTTATCGACTCTCATTAAATTATTATATATTCCTCATCTCTCATCCTACGCATGCTATGTTAAGATCCTTTTACTACCAACACCTGCATTCCTACGGATCTTTATCAGGACATTGTCTATTACCTTTTAACGTGTGTAAATGTGCGTGTTTATGTATGAGATGGTACGTTCGAAGAGAGAGAGTTCTCTTTGCCTAATTTGACACATAACAGAAAAAATGGGTTTTTCCTCGATTTTTTCTCGTAACGATAATATTCCTCCAAAATATTTTTTCCAAGATCTCGGGTTTGTAGTCTCGTAACTTTCTCAAAGTATTAACGCTATTAATGCTCTCTCATGACATTTTCAATATTATGAAATCTTATATCTTTTCGCTTTGTTTTTCTCTAGAATTGTGAATGAACTTGTGATATTGCTATATAGTGCTCTGTAATATTGTTAATATACACATATATATTCCTCGTAAAGTCGCGAATATCCTAACATATCGGGATAGACGTAGATAGACAGACTTTTTGGTGATATCGTGTAAAATTTCTCGATTTCTCTCATACTTTTCGTAATATTGCAAACGTTCCGTTAATTTGTACTGTAAATACTTGTCGCAATGTCATAAACGTTTTCCTCCATATAATGTTGCTTTTATTCCTACTGCGATGTAACTGCGTATACGTTACACGTCAAAATCACACTACCTCATACCTAAAGTTTGTGCATGTATATATATATATATATATATATTTTTTTTTATTTCGTCCTTTTCTTTGCACTACGAGTTGTTACGAATAGTGCACAACTGACTATAACTCTTTCATTCGGATCAATTAGATGAATTCGCAATTCTTGAATTCATAATCCATTATCTCTCGATTGTATATCCAAATATATGTAATACGATGATACTGGTACACTTAGATATACTGAAATTCACTATAACTCACTGACACCTATCCTCAAGAATCCGAAAAATATTATGGAGAAAATACTTATATATACTCTTATCTCTTTTGCATCTTTACGATTTATAGATTCTACCTATATATTCTAGCGCCTTCTACTTTCTAACGCCTTTCCTATAGTTTTAGGATCTTTGTGTGCCACATTTGTTTTTCTTTTTCGATATTAATGCCCCTGACTCTCTATCGTGAATACGTTATCGTGAATATCGTTATTTCATATCCTCGGAAAAAGATGCAATTTCAAACACCTTTTCTCGATCTCAAATTTCGTTAAATTATATATACATACTTCTTTTCTGTATGTAATATTATATGCGAATATATATTATGTATTCGTTAAAAACGATATGTTTCCGTAACTTGTTTCAATGTTTATTATATTTCGTTTGTTTGATAAATTTTACAAATTCTTAACAAATTTTGTTGTTTGATCGATGACGATCTTAATCCGAGGGTAACAAAGTACAACAGGAGCTCTTTATAATCTGAATGACGCAAATATTGCAAACATTATTTGAAAACATTATTATTTGTAAATTTGTAAAATCTTGTGATATTTTCTCCTCAAAGATGAAGTTATAATTTTTTAATAAGTTTAAGATAAAGCAAATATTATTTTATATAATTTAATTGAAAAAAGAAAATATGAAATTCTTTATTATACAAATAATCACCATAACAAATTATGATATTCAACCAATTGAACAAATTATATCAGAATGAGCGGAATGCTTTGCCAAAATTTCATTGTTTTATATTTACTTATTTTTATCATCATTACTCATTATTATTTATTCGTATTCAATGAAGATAGAGAAAAAGGAAAAGGGAGCGCGCGCAATAAAATAAAATTTATTAAATAAACAATAATTGTACAGAATAAGGACGTAAGAAAGAACATTATGATAAATAAAGTAAATAAATAAAAATAGAATATAAACTTAATAAAAAATAGAATAGAAAACTTTCGTTTGCGTCACTCATATTCCAAGTTGCTCCTTTTCTCGAATAATATTACGATAATATAAGTATATGTCCGCGTTAGAACGAGTGTCAATGGGCTTTGCCGTATTGCGAGTTGTACTTACCGTAGTCCTGTTTCCCATAAACTCCGTCTTGGTTTGAATAATCTATAATTACACAAAAGAAGAGCGCAATTTTAAACGAATGTTTCACAGCTTAGAGAAAACACCAGAAATGGTTGGGGCAGGGGGGGGGAGCTATAACGAGAATACAACAGGGTTTCCATAGGAGAGGAAAAAAAAACGGAAACGAGAGTTTAATTGAAATTAATCGATTTAGCTTATAAATTTTATTTTTTTAATTAAGATGACAAGGAAGCAGTATTGAATATAGCTGCAAAGTTATAAAAATATAACAAAAATAATAAAACTATGCTAAGAACTAATAGAATAAATATGATAACAGTTTTGTTGATAAGCGATAATGATAATTCCATAAATTTATCTCGTTTTCTGATAAATGTCTCATGGAAACCCTGTAGTATTCTGCAGTGAAAGATGACAGGAGGCAGTGCTGACAGTGTCCCGATAATATGGCTCTATATCCGATTGCCTTTATGAATTTTTAGGGATAGGGATAATTTCCGTGTGAAACCATACGTAACTTTTTTGACGATTACAAAGTGACAAAGTGATGCGGTACACCCAAAAATCCGACGATACTGCACTATTCGAAAAACGAAACATCGGGAGAGAGAATGTCGGAAAGCCCGATGATGTTTAATGTTAAAACGAGACATTAGATCATCTTTCGGAAAGTTGTCACAAAACAAAAGTAAATCTGTGATATTCTGCAATTGTGTAATATAAATTCTGCAACACGACAAACTTATGATACTCGCAATCGTCAACTTCCACTTCCGATAATTCAACGTCTCGTTCCGCGATGGAAGAGCAGGAACGAGAGTTCTCGGGGATCGTTCTAACGACCGTAACGAAAGAATTAATGAGTTGTATATACATGAACGATGTGACATAAGCGGACGAGATAACTAACCGTAAGATTGCGTCGAATAACCGCCCCGGTCGATTACGTTGTCATTAGAAAATCGGTCGTCATATGGGTTAACAGGGGTATAATCCCCGTTCCCGCCACCCGGCCCCGCAGCTGGCACTGCCTCCTGGTAATTGGCTGGACATGCATCACCACGTAGTATTAATTAACTAACTGTTTCACGACTCTAATGCCGATACGATTCCGCTCGTGACGCAGTCTTGGAACATTTCCGCTTCGCGACGAGGATGCGCGGAGTTAATCGGAATGTTGGGAGAAAATTGACGATGAACGTTGCGTGCGCACTTATTCTTTCGTTCTTATTTCTACAGTCAACGGCTTACCTGATTGTGGTGCTTTGCCGTAATTGTACGGATCGTTAAAGCCTCCGGTAGCCGGAACTGACGATGCTCCGCCGCCATATCTGTTGTCTGGTGGAGCGGATGAAGGGTAGCCCTGGAAGCAAGAAAAATATTTGAATTTCCGAAAGGTTTAACAAAGCAACAAAAAAGTGTATTTGTAAATCAAAGTTTTGCGAAAGATTTTCACAAAATTCTCCTTCGAACGAGGACCGAGCTCGAAGAGGGATCTACAAAACTTACTGTTTGCGCATAATCTGGTGGCTGCTGATAACTTTCGTAACCAGGATAAGATTGTGTATATCCTTGTTGCGAGCCATAACCACCGCCACCACCACCGTATCCCACCGATTGTTGCTGAGGTTGCTGCTGACCACCGTAAGCGTTATTTGAACCACTGCCGTAACCACCTTGACTGAAATTATTATTTACCACAGTTAACATCTCTCCGGTCTCTCTTAATCTATAGATACAGTAGATCAAATAGATGGTCTATTTGATCTACTGTATCTGTTATCTATACACTGGGATATTCCTTTATATCTTGATCAATAAAACAGTTTCTGAAGAACTTACTTGGACGATTGAGTAGCATAGCCATTTGATGGCTGTGAAGACGGTTGATCGAAACGAGGTCTCTTCGAAGGTCCGTTGGAACTCGGCGGACCTCCACCTCGCTTGGTCGGACCACCACGTCCACCGCCAATTCCTCTGCCGCCACGGTCGTTAAAGCCGCCTCTGCCACCTGGCCCACCTCTAGATCCACCTCTGTATATATAAGATATTTTAATTATATCACAAGTGACAGCTAATTTTCAAGCGAATACATAATTGAAACAAGCTATCGCTACCTGGATCCTCCTCTACCACCTCTATCCATGCCACCGCGGCCACCACGGAAATTATTATTTCCACGACTATCGCCTCTACCAAAGTCTCCTCTGCCTCTGCCACGGAAACTATTGTTACCACCCCTGTTCCCACCTCGTGGAGGGCCTCCCATTCCCAAAGGTGGTGGTCCACCACCTGGTCCACTAGACATGCCAGGTTCTGGTGGGCCACTACAAATATATTATTAATAGTACATTGTTTTAAATTCTATTTTAATATTTCATATGTTGATTGACTTTATTTGTAGCAAATAACAATTCTCTAATAATATAGTTACCCTGGTGGAAAATGTCCACCACGTCCACCACGACCTGGAGGACCACCTCTGCCTCTCATTCCTGGAGGACCTCCTCTCATTCCTCCACCAGGTCCACTGCCTCGTCCGCCACGCATCATGCCACCGCCTCGGGGAGGACCACCCCTGTTATAGAACAGAAACTTGTATTTTCTCTAATTATTTTAATTTAAATATCTGTTGGAAATATCTGTACATATAACAATATCCTCAATTATTTACTTAAATATACTTGTGTATATGCCTATTTCTTGTTTGTTATTATTTATATATTATTTATGTTCACAATATATACTATATTTGTTTATTTAAGAGCCATCAATAAAATAGTTTCTGCAAATTGTTTTGGAATAAACTATTTGTGAACCAATATTCAGTAGCTAACAAGTTAATTATTTATTTTGCAAAGTTATATTAAATAGCTTACCTTCCCCGATCTCCAAAACCACCTCTTCCTCTCATTAATCCTCCAGGGCCTCCACGGCCCCGAAATCCTCCTCTACCAACAGGTGCACCATCCATTGTTAAGTGATTCTACAATATTTTTGCATGTTAGATATATTTGTGAATCTAGAAGTTGGAAAATAATTTGAGAATTTAAGAATCAGACTAGAATCATTATTTAAGAAACAATAAGCTTGAAAATCTAAAAATTAAAATCCCTTAAATATTGTCAAGTCTATTTATATTGAATTTATAAAATGGATGCGATTACTAGACCCATAAATTGTTACATTTTTACAAAAACGACAAAAAAAGATCAACGATGTTCGTTTTCTATTCTGTTGTAACAATGAATACTTTATGCGAAGCTTCAGGCACAGCGATATTCTATGAAATTGTTTTAACATTCGCAATAGTCAATATTATCAAAATGTGCGACGAAAACGCGAAGGGAAAATCAGTAACGCGGAATTGCTATACTGACGCTACCCTTGAGAAACGTTTTTTTGAGGATCTGTTGAAAAATACAAGTTAGGACGAAAAATCACGTGAATCTCCATCGCTTGCGAGAAAACGATTGATTTGATGAAATTTCTTCACTCACTAGATACGACGTTACAACGAGGACTCGTCCGACAAGGATGCTCCAAAAGCGGGAAAGATGACAAAGAAAATGGACGCCGGTTGATGGAGCGGAAAGAGAAACATCGACCTCGGAGAGGATATAATGGCGATTTAGCGACGAAAAGAAAGAGACTGCGTTCCGAAATTTACTGCCAATACTGAAAATATACAGTTTGTGTCACATATATTATAGAATTTCAGTGCTGACAGTGAATATCGGAACGCAGCCAGAAACGTTGGTGCTGCGCTCTGTCCCTATACCTGAGCCAATCGGATTTTTGTCTCATCTAAAAATTACCGTATTATTAGGGCTATTTCCACAATTCAAGCTTGATGACTTTTCGACAGTGATCCAGAAAAATCTCGTTCAAGTATGTAAATTAGAATTTCATCATGATGAATAATACGAGTTCCGGGTGGAATTTCTCTCTGGAGAATTCTATAAATTTTTGTCCCTCAAAAGTTCAAGAGACTTCCTATCGATTATAAGGCCGGGTCTACGATAGGTGTAGTAAGCTTTAACCAATCCTAGTCGATTTTTACAAGAATAATCGAATAAGGTTAGCCAATTTCTTAAGGCTTAAAGCTTACTACACCCTATTGTAGACCCGGCCTAACTATGTTTACACGGTAACGTTAATCCGAATTAGTAACTACCGTAGTTAGTGAATTCTTTGATCCGATTGGTATATTCTTTTAGATCTAAAAATATACTCTAATCGGATTCGAGACTGCACTAACTACGGTAGTTGCTAATCCGGATTAACGTTGCCGTGTAAACGTAGTTTTGTGGAAAAATCGAGTGTAGTGTAAATTGTTCGTAAAGCGAGCTGGGTACCTATTATGGAACTCGTCGGAATCGATTCCGATCGAATTTATTCCGTTATTTCCTAGATTTCTATTGTCTTTTTTAGGGGAAACGGAATTATTCCGATCGGAATCGATTCCGACGAGTTCCATAATGGGTACCCTGGTCGGCCGCCGCTCGCAACGCCCCGGCGTGTCGCGCGCGAACGTTCACCGGCCACGTGATCGTGCAACGACGCGTCGATTGGCCAGTTAGTCGGGATTTAAACAGGATGGGCCGTTGCCTAACTTCAGCGACAGAAAACTGCGGTTTGAACAGAAGTTCGGCTGTACGGTATATGTGGCGGATCGTGCCCACGGCTGTTCGCTCTTTTTTTTCAACACTATACGGTTCAAGTTTGTGAGACGACAGCAACGGTCACGGCTTACGCCCTGTGTACTTTTTACGCACGTAAACACGCAATTCGGTGGCCAGCTAATACAAAGCGGCCTATTATAGCCACGAGGCGATTGCAGGTTTACCGGCTTGAACGAGCAAACGCGATACGATGTCGAAGGACGAGCAAGAGTGCGCGATACCGAACATCATACACGATGTGAATAGCGGCAAAAGTTACTTGAAGGGCCGTTTTTTCGGCAAGGTAAGCGATTTGATCTTTGCTCGAACCTCTGGTTTCCGCGACCTTGCAAATTTGTTCTCACAAGCTTACTCCGTTTTTCGACACATCGACATGGGTTACGTTCCTTTGGCGCCCGGTATTTCTCGTTTGTGCGCTGAAGACGTGATCTTTGTCATAATTGAAGGATACAAGCCAATAAATTCGTGTATTTCTTACCCTTTTTTGTATTTAAAGGGTACTCAATGTGCTGAACAGTGGTGAAATTTGGGGAATATTCTAATGAAGTATGTAATTTATGATGGTTTTTGAAGCGTTCTTTATATGTATGTTACTGCTGGGTTATATCTTTAGTTGTCCTTTATTTAGTTGTTCTAGATAGTGGACCTTGTACTTAAGCACCTGTTGCATTTGAATAAATCATGTGTCATGTGAATAGATGTTGCAATTGAGTAAATTCTAAGATGCCACATTGTTCATTCATATCACTCGTTCCTTTTAGTATATTTTTATTATTTGAAATGTATGTATATATACATATATACCATGTATCACATATATGTATATATGGATGTTAAAAGGAAAAAAGAATAATGAATCCAAATGTTAAGAGTGCAAGCAAAATCAATAACTTTATGATTTATTTATATTTTAAAGTTAGTGTTTCATTTTACAAACTTTTGTCACATTGAAGTATGTTTATAATTATCGTACTTGTGATATTAAATATATATAAATCACAACTAAATATTTGCTTTGAAATATTATTATTATGAGTATATTAAATATATATTATACAACATTTCAACATTTATTGTAATTATAACATTTCAATCAATATGATATTATTAGCTACATACTTAGGTTATATATTACTGTATCCATTTCTATATTAATAAATTTATGATTGTTAGAAGCTCATTTTATAATCACTGCTAGTATGAATTTCTCCCCCTTATTTCCAAATTGATGTTATCTTTCCTAGTAAAATATTCTTTGTAATCATATTTATTACAACTATATATTATTATATTAATATTTTGATTTCTTATTTTACAGGGTGGCTTTGCAAAATGTTACGAGATCACAGAGTCGAAGTCGCATCTTGTGTTTGCTGGAAAAATTGTGCCAAAATCATTGATCACCAAGAGCAATCAGAAGGAGAAAATGACTCAAGAAATAGCAATTCATCAGACTTTGCATCATAGACATATTGTCGGCTTTCATGGTTTCTTTGATGATGCTCACCATATCTACATCATCTTGGAGCTCTGCCGTAAGAGAGTAGGTATTTTCCACAATCCTATCTTTATATATATTATCGATTGTATTTACAATATATTTGATCAAATGTCTTTATTTTTAGTCAATGATGGAGTTGCACAAGCGCAGGAAAGCATTATCGGAATGTGAAACTCGATACTACATGAAACAAATCTTGGATGGAGTATTTTACCTGCATCAAAATAGAATAATTCACAGAGACTTGAAGTTGGGCAATTTATTCTTGAACGACGATTTGCAAGTAAAGATCGGTGATTTTGGATTGGCCACGAGACTGGAGCACGATGGCGAACGTAAAAAGTAATTGTTCTTTGAATACGATAAACATATATTATAAGTCCGATCTAATTCTAAATATCTATAATAATATAAAGATCTAAATATTTTATGCTTGGTGCTGAATCCTTTGTTATTGTTTTTTCCATTATTACTTATCAAACCTATATAGAGATCTATCTTTTTAAATTACACATTTTATTTCTTAAGCCCTTAAGATTTTTGACAGCTACATCAAGACTAAGCTAAATTATATCTTAACGTATTTTTTTTAGTTGTTGCTATTTAGTAAGTTACCTGGTTTTATCAGTTATTTGAAAAGTCAAACACGCGAGCACACATACATTTGAGTACATGATGATTTATTAACCAGTAGCAATCTATTTCTCATCTTTAATAGGACTGTTTGTGGTACTCCGAACTATATAGCACCGGAAGTGCTGACAAAAGTTGGGCATTCGTACGAGGCCGACGTGTGGAGTATCGGTTGTATAATGTATACTCTGCTTGCGGGCAAACCGCCGTTCGAGACGTCGAGCTTGAGAGAGACGTATGCCAGGATCAAGCAGGTGCAATATAAAACACCGACGCACATCAGCAAGCCCGCTATGAACATGGTGGCGAGAATGTTACAACTAAACCCATCCAAACGTCCCTCCGTCGCCAAGCTAATGAAAGACATTTTCTTCACTGCGGGTAAGAGGACGAACCAATACTTTTTAATGGACGTGGAAACGCATTCTTAATTAACCTTTTTCGTCAAATAGAGTTAATTTGTCAATTTCCAAACTTGATTAATTTAAACCGAAGTAACAGCATTAAGTATAGATTTGATCAAATAGAAATTAACGTGTAAACTTTTCACTAGCATTTTTCAACTATCAAATACGTTATTATTCTTTTAAAAGGTTTTTACAAGTTATACTTTCATGTAATATAGAATAAAATCTTATTCCTCGCTTGTAAAGTTTGTTAACAATCGTCAGGATATTTGCCGACGAGTTTGCCGCTTTCCTGTCTGACAATGGCACCTCGTGTGGACATGTTGGAGTCGCATTGCAACCGCAAACCACTTGGCGAGATGAACTTTAACGGATGCTCAGAGACAGATATCATCACCTTCCGGGTGCCGAGCAGCCCATCCCGTAAGCCTGCGAAGCCTACTGACGTCAATGAAATGCAGAGAATGAATCACGATATCAAGAAGATGCTGCACACGCTGAAGGAACAGTTAGCTACTGTATTGAAGGCTAAGCCAGCCAGAGAGATAACATCATTAGCATCGTCAGCAGGTATATATTTTTCCCTTTGTGCAGCATTTTTACTTTGTGCAGTTTCATATTCTTAATAAACAATCTGAAAAAGAAATATATTCCTCTTTTAAAATGATACAGGTTTTCTAAAACAAATGTTGAAGAATCGGATTTTATTTTCTTCGTTGAAAACATAAACGTTTACATTTTTAAACGTATAAACATTCAGTGTTGTACAAGGTATTTTATTTTCAGTACCTAGGTACGGTTACAGGTACTCTGGAAAAGAGTACCGAGGTACAGGTACTAGAAAAACAAAATACTTAAGTACAGGTACCTCAAATGTAGATAGATACAGGTCAAAGGTAGATATATACATCTAGATACAGGTTTTATTATCTAGATGCAATTTTTATTTATTAATTAAAATATAAAGTAAAATTTCAGAATAAATAGAATCATTTATGATTTCACGTATTCGGACACATTTACGTACTATATATATTTTATATGTACTTACATAAATATTCTATGCGAATAAATTTAACATGTACAATAAAGTGAAGTAACATTTATAAGCTATTGATTATAAAGCTTATAAAGCTATTCATTAGTTTTATTCAAATAATTCATTTAACATTTATGCATTATGTTTAAAAAAAACATCAAACATTCAAAATTATCATCAGACAAATTATTTCGTCGCGGCGTTAAAATTTGTTGCTCTGTACTAAATGCACGTTCAACAGGCGTGGAGTTCAGTAAGAGTGTATTATATTTTATATAAATTCTTTTTATAATTGGGTATTTATTCACAGTATTCAAGTCTTTTGATTTGTCAGATAAATATGTTAAGCACTGTACTTTTACACCTAATGGTTTGGTAATACCTAAAATTGTTGTGATATCAATATTAAGTCTGTTTTTTATCATTGAACTAGTGTACATTCAGGGAACATAAAAAGAAATAGATATACATCTAGGAGTTAGTGAAAGGGAGAGAAGAAAATAAATGCAAGTTAGCGCAGCCAGTTCAGCAATAGAAAATAAACCTATTATCTATCATTCACATTTTTATCACGTAGAAAAGAGAAGAAAGTGTTCTCCTCTGATTCTGATGAAAACTTTTCCAGATTGTTTACATCTTTACAAAGAAAAGAGTGTGCTTCTAGCAGTAAATTTTTACACAATTCTTTTGAATTTGGACAATCGAATATTGCGAGCTATTTTAATTTAAATTTTGGGATGGTGGTAACAGTTGTTATGTGGGTTATACAGAGGGCCTATTCCTTTTAGCTGCACTGCTGAACTAGTGCAATAAGTTAAGGTGCTAATAAGCTAAATGTCGAGCGCGCCTGTTGAATATGTATTTACTATTTAGTGTAGAAAAGTATTATCCAAAAAGTAACTAAAATGTAACTAAATATAGATACAGATACACAAGAAATTCTACCTAGGTACAAGTACCGGAGAAAAAAGTACCTCGGTACAATACCTAGGTATGTAAATTTGTACCTAGTTACAGTATCTAGATATGCTTGTACCTAGGTACTGCACAACACTGTAAACGTTTATATCTTAAAACATATAAATGTTTACATCTTCTCTAAAACATAAACATTTATTTAAATATTCTTGATAGTCTTAATAAATGTTCTTGATAAAAGTTCTAAATATATACTGTTTTTTATTATTATTAGATCGATGTTTCAAACTCGTTTTTTAGACGAAATGACCGATCCAGCGGCACAACCTGTAATCTGGATAAGCAAATGGGTAGATTACTCGGATAAATACGGCTTCGGGTATCAGTTATCCGACGATGGAGTCGGTGTGATGTACAACGATGGTACGCGGCTGATAATGTTACCGAATGGTTTTAACATACACTACATTAACCGTGAGGGCGACGAATTGTATTACACGGTGAGAGAATATCCGGCTAATCTCGAGAAGAAGATGAAGCTCATGAACTTTTTCCTGAAATACATGAACGAGCATCTGATGAAGGCAGGCGACTCCATCGCAATGAAACAAAGCGACTCTATATCTAGAATACCGTACATGCATCAGTGGTTCAGAACTCAAACGGCAGTCGTGATGCAACTCACTAACGGCACTGTACAGGCAAGTCTATTTATCTAATGTTTCTATAGACTTATAATTATGTAGATTAATTATATAGATCTATATATTACATAGATCATTTTAAAAATATGGACATCCTTATGTGTGATGTAATCTTTTCCTTAAACAGTACTCCTTTACATTTCGTATCCTTTTACATGTTAGTATCTTCTGTATTATTTTAACTTTTTATAATAATCACTATCATAATTTTTTTAATATTTTCATTTTGCTTCTTTTTACTCTGCAGATATTTTGTGATAATTATATATACGTCTATGTTGTGTTCACAAATCTTTAATTAATATCCACTGTAGCATATTTTATATAAAAATGAATAAATAATAACAAAATAAAACTTGTCTTCGTTTCTTACAGGTTAATTTCTTAGATCACACGAAAATCATCATGTGTCCTTTAATGGCGGCAGTAACCTACATCGACCAAGAAAAGAACTTCAGAACTTACAGATTCCAGACTATTCAGGAGAACGGCTGCTGTAAGGGACTCGCGAAGAATCTAATGTATGCGTATGAAAAGCTCGGTTTGATGCTGACAAGTCCTCAAGTCCGATAAAATCGTCTCGAGGAAAACTATAGAAAGAATGAAAAAGAAAAAAAGAAGAGAAAGAGTGAGAGAGAGAGAGGGAGAAAGAGAGAGAGTATGTGTGTGTGTGTGTGTGTATGCGCGTGTGTCAGAGAAAAAGAGAGAGAGAGAGAGAGAGGGAGAAAGTATGGTTGAGAAGGTGAAAGAACGGGAAAAGGGGAGAGAAGAAATAACAGATACTGCGCACTTATCCGGCACCAAAAAGATTTAGAAACACTATATATATATATATTTATTTTTTTAGTAGCGCTATCTTTGTAAACGAGAAACTAATACGGTATTTGTACAGACGTATAGACTTTTGCTAGACAATCTTTTTTTCTTCTTTCGTCTTTTTCCTTTTTCTCTTTATTATTGTCTTTTTTTAATCACTGAGTGCACGAGATGTAAAAGAACGAAGCGGGTGACAAAGGCACGGTGCTCCACGATAACAAGAAAGCATTTCAATTTATCGGTAAGTGCCGTTCCTACAAATGTTACTCGTAGTTAATTGCTTAGATCTTTATCGATCTTCCGTCTATGAGATAGAACCAGGATAAAATTGTGAGAGAAATGTGACACACTAAAATCTCAGTTGTCTGATGATGTATATATATATATATACATATATATATATATATATGTATGTACGTATGTATTATGGGCGGGATCCCGGAAAGTAATTGTTACAACTTGTCAGTGCCCATTTCCATCCTGCAATTTCTTATCATCTCCATCATTACTGATCTCGTGGGAGGCTTTTACATTCCGTTGACCCGCAACACGAATTGCTCACGATATCTTGCTCTAACTTTGCGAGTGAATCATGCGCGACTCCGGTTCATTCGTTGCGAAGAAGAAAAAGGCGGAGGCGGAAGGAAACTGGGCGAAAGCCTTGACGGGCCGGGGTTAATCATGATTCGACTGAGTAGTGCAATTTGATGTCTGGATTGTAAAAGATGAAGAGAGAACAAAGAATAGAGACCGAAAAAGAGACAGGGAGAGAGGGAGTTAGTCGACTAGCAATTAAATAACTGACGCATAAATGTTAATCAAAGGTTCGCTCGACCGACTTTATTGCTCATACTTGTTCGAGTAATATAGGTGCTACATTTGGAATATGAATGTGTTAAACGTCGTTAATGTTTGAATGCCGGCAACAGCGGTACACATTATGGATTTCAGATGCGTTTAGTGCAGAAAAAAATTATGTCGAGCTGGATTTGTCGCGTAGTTCCTTTGTTTCTTTGCTTTTTTGTAACAATTTGTAATCAAGAATCAACTATTACACTTGCGTGACGTATGAATAATACGCAAAAGTGCCTTATGAACGAATTGCCTGACGGTTAAATAGATTGTACTCCTTTCTCCTATTTTCTTTTTACTATTTCATTTGCGAATATTTTTGTCATTGTCCGACGAACACTACTCTTTTCATATATATGTATATTTATTCATAGTTTTTTTTTTTTATATACGAAGCGAAGAGCTCAGATTTCTTTTATTTTGGAACATTACTTTTGGCATAAATAACGAGAAATATATAGCTCAGGAACAACGTACAAAAGCAACTTAAATCAAGATGCTGTAAAAGAGAAAAATATAGAGGGTGAGAGACCTTAGTATTTTTTTTTATAAATTTACTTTGTATTTTGGGAACGAAGAACAAGTGACGGAAACAGTTAATTAAATTGACAAATATTTTCCAGGGTCGAGTCTGAAAGATGAACGATGATCGTGTTGAATTGTGTGACACTCAGCGAGAACGGTTCTGCCTTTCTCGCGTTATGCCTTTCTCAATTCGAGTGAGAAGATCGATCAGCTGTAGAAAACTTAAGTGCTTATATGTATAAGAATAATGGAATCAGTATCAGAACTCTGCTATGTATGTATAAGGGCTGATTCCGCCCAGAAAGACGACCATTTCGAGGACTATACTTTTTATTTTTAAGAGATTAATCGATTAGAACGCGTAATGTAACAGAGATTATAGTGCTGCGAGTGCTGATCGTATATGAACGAGCATATACGCGCGGTGCGTTACATTCCGCCGACATCGTGTGATTCTCGTAAAATAATCAGACTGTTACGGAACTTAACGTTGACTGCTGTAGGATTATACGATTATCGTAGTAATGTGAAGTCAGCGCGAGAGTTTCTGCACTGTTTGCGTTTCTCGTTGGTTATCATCCGGTGCAAAACTCTGAGCTCCAAAGATTCAATTGAAGATCGGAGATCGGGAAGATCTCTAATATATCAAATTGTGGAATCTGAAGAGAGGCTGACGATGAGAAGTGATTAAACTTTTGGAAGTTTCGAGTTAACAACAATGATTCAAATTCATAACAATGAATATACGTTATTCGAAGCGCTTGTAAATCTTTGAGAATGGAATTCGAGAGTCGTAACATTTCCGAATGTTGCATGATCTTTAAAATAGGGGATTTATGAATTTATGGATTTGAATAGATGGATTCATATCAGGCGATCTATAAATATATGTCGATTGAAATTGAAATTTCTGTTGAATTTCAATCTCCGTCAGCATCAGGAAACTTCAGATTTCCATCTTTTTATTCTTCGACATAAAAATTACGTTAAACAGGTTAAGTATTAGTTAAACTATTAAGAAGTAGATTAGCTGTCGGTTGGCTTATTGTCAAAAAGTTCAACCATTGATTGACTTGCTTTAACATGGTTTGCGAGTCAAAGGATTCGAAACAATCCATGAATCTCCCGACCGAATCTTTGGGACTGCGCAACGCGCAACGCGTAAGAATACTCAATAACATTGAGGTTTGAGATGTTATCATCGTTCATACGGCGTGATTCGAATGATTAATTCGAAGCCGAGAGCGAGAAATTTGCGATGAAACTCTCGTGAGGATTCGCTAATACATGAGGTAGATTTGCATTACTTGAAGAGACTGCACGACAAGGAAATGTCTTAGAGCTAGCGTAGTAAAATTTGATTTAAGTATATCACGAGACAATAATATACAGTAACCGTAGGCGGTAATTAATCTTTAAACAAATTACTCGAAGAAAGTGCTATTATACAGGCTTGGCGCGGATGACATTAGTTGCATTTGCAACAAGTTAGATATATATGTGTATATACATATATTCATTTAAATTAGATATATATATACACACATAGGCATCTCTAGGTCGAGGAACAATTGTAATATGTTAACTAACGAATTAAGACAACTAAATGTACATACGTAAAAGTTGTTAACTAACAATAAGATTATAAATAATATCGATTCACGAGGGAGGAGCAGCATGAGTCGGGGCGCGGCCGTCGCGGATTTATCTTTAGACAAATTATTAGGATTATTACTATTTTTACAATATAATATCACTGTACAACACTGTTTTGAAAAGAGTTCGGTATAGAATAAACTGTTTTCATTTGTACAAATCTACATGTGTTCAGAGGAGAAATACTCTTGCAAGAACTCGGTGGCGAAATGAACTGCAAAGGTTTTAAACATTTGCCGCGCGGAATTACTCTAGCCAATCCGCACGGTCTGTGATCCGCGCATGCGCGCACACGCATTTCTTGCGCAACGGTCGGTCATGAGACTACATCGGACTGTGGCGCGCTCTTCTCGCATGCTTCGTCTCCGCTCCGGGAGAGCTTTCTTCCACCCGGCGGGTATCACGTGCTGTATTGGGGTTAGTTAATGGCACATGGCGCGTAATCGAGTAGTTGAGTGACGACCTTTCATCCGATTGGTCGTGTCTGTTTATCGTCACGCTTGTCGATTGTCCATCATTACCAGGGGTATTCCATTACGTTATCGTGCGGATTAATGAACTGATAGCATTTCTTTCTTCTGTCCAATAACGCAGCAACGAATAGTGAACGAACAGTTTAACCATCCGATCGATCAGTCGAGGTGAGTGCCTTAACAGAATTCAACTTGATTTAATATTACTCGGTAGCTGGCGGTTATAAAGTGCAAACGTGTAACTCGAATGGATTTAGAAAATTTATGAGATTCATCGTGAATCGCGCTTACATAAAACGTATTCGATCGTCAGAAAGAATGAAGAGAGACGATGAGAGCGCTGTATATTGTTTGCTCTCTCTTTCCCTTTCTTTCTCTCTGTCTGTCAAACGGGACCAGAGTGACGTAGAAAGCGAGCGCGTAATTTTGAGGAAGGAGAGATACTGAGACGGCAATAGCTTCGGGATTCTTTTTGTTCTCTTCGTCAAAGAGCGAGAAAAGGAATGATTCGTACGCGACTCGGGAATGTTCTTTTGGTTCTCCGTTCAGTAAAGTAATTCAACGGCCGAATAGTTGGTCGTTATATTACCCAGACAATATCAATATCTAGAACATCTAGATATTTCAAAGACGTCTGACAGACTTTATATTGTTTTTAAATGTCTAAGACCGCATCTTAGCCGTTGTCTAGATATTTTTGTATTTTGACATTGGAATGTTATTCGTGACCTTTATCTGTTAGCGTCAAAGTATTCAATGGCTGTTCTGTCTGTCATTCAATGGCGTTATTAATGGCGGTATTAACAGACAAAGAAGGAAAAATATTTCGCAGAAATGTAAATATTTTCTTAAAATGTCTTTTGGATGTCTAAGACCGTATCTTAGCCATTTATGTTGTCTAGATACTTTTGTATTTTGATGTTGGAACGTTACTCGTAACCTTTGTCTGTTAGCGCCAAAGTATTCAATGGCGTTGTTAATGGCTGTACAAATGATGACGTTAACGGACAAATAAAAAATATTTCGCAGAAATGCGCTCGACGATTCGTCGAAAGAGAGATTCATAGAGTTTATTTAAACACGCGTCATTACCGCTCGCTTCATCGCAAAATGCAACGAAATCATATTACAATAATACTCAATGGCGACCGAACGCGTTTGAGAATTTTTTTTATAGTGCGGCAAGTCGAAGAAAGTTTGGATACATTTAAATTTCCGATCATAATATTCACGAACACGAGAAATCGCAGAGCAGATATCGCAGAATAATTCATCAACGCGTCATAATAAAGACGAAAACCTGCATATCTCTATAACTGACCTGTAACAACCTATAGTAATTTTTATACGAGCAAGAGAGAGACTAAAAGAGAGAGGTTTATTACATAAATCACTCTGTGTGTTTTTGTTATCAGCTCTTTAAATACGCCGTTGATATCACATGAGCCGTCATATTGTTGTATTCAGGTTTAGGCGAGTCACTGAATTCCCAACATTTTTATTTAAATAACAAGTGACTAGTAATGAAGAAACAATGGATATCTCTGTTTGTTTCTAAGTGTGTATACTTTAGAGGTATGCGTGCAAAGTACGCAAGGTTTCACTACCATTTGTGGATTCTGATTGAGTATTCGCTTTAACGAAAAACGTCGGTAGATTTATATGACTTATATGACTTACACGCGACATTGTGACAACTCGTATGATTTGAGCGATATGAATGAGGAAATACCCGTGCGGTGAAAAATAATCAGGAATGATAATTATTTCACGGATGTTGGAGGTTTTTCGCGGAAAACTGCGAAAAATAATTCGCGGGGTTTTTGAGGAGCTCACACTTAACGGCTTATTAATAATTTCAGCTATTAATTTGTTTGTACTCGTGTCAATTGTATTAAGAAGCTGATTAAATTAAATATTGTTAATTTCTTTTGTTCAGTCAATCAAATCTTATTAATTAAATAGTGATTTTTGTCAGAGGTCGTAAATATCAGTCGTGTTGAAGAAATTGGTTATAAATGCGTATGAAATTAAAATAATGAGAAAGTATAAACTAATGCGAAAGTATAAACTAATGCGAAAAAATATGTAATGTTGTCTTATATTCGTTATATTCGTTTAATTATTCTTTTACATCTTGTCTTTTCTTTTTTGTTTGTACTTTTCATACGGATATGCAGACATCAATATATTTATAATTTCAAGCGAGCTATAAATAAAATCAAGTTCTTGACGAATCCGCGTAGATAATCCATCAAACCTCTTGGAAGATAAAATCTTTCCACAGTGCGCGAAAACGTCACTCTTATATTTACATTCTTGAAAATCGTGTTTATATAATAAATAAAAAAAAAATTATTTGCATGCGGTATCTTCTTCGGAATAATTTTAAGATAAAGATAACTATTGCACAGCGAAATGATATTCAATACACTGACGTGATATTATCGGAGCACTTTGCAGCCGAGTATTTCCTCTTCGTGCAAAATTACCTTAAAAGAGATAATATATTAGGTTGTTGCAGATGAAATGGCCATTTTTTAATTTTTAATTTAAATTTTTATTCGACACACTTTATATACATCTCGTCAATCGAAATAGTCTCTCTCCACCTCAATACACTTCCCCCAACGTGATACAAGCACATCAATGCCTTTCACGTAGAAATTAGAAGAGCGAGATGCAAGAAATTCGTTGAACGCATTTTTCACGTCGCTTTCTGTTTGAAATACCTTTTCACTTAAAAAGTTATCCAGATGCTTAAACAAACAAATGGTAATCAGTTGGAGAAAGATCAGGAGAATAAGTAGGGTGAGGGATAACTTCGCATTTGTATTCTGTTAATGTTTTTACAGTTTTTTTTGCAATATGCGGTCTAGCATTATCATGGAGCAATAATATACCGCGTCTATTTAATAATGCTGGCTATTCGATACGCAGTTTTTCCATCACAATGTCAATTTCTTGGCAATATTTGTCAGCATTTATAGTTTCACCCTTTTTCAAAAACGAAAAATGCACAATACCCTTGGCAGACCACCATACAGATACCATAACCTTACGTGAATGAAGGCTCGGTTTCGGCATGTGTTTCGGAGCTTGATCAGCATCTAATCACTGGGCAGAACGTCGACGATTGTCATAAAGAACCCACTTTTCATCACACGTTACTATTCGATTCAATGTTCCTTCATTATTGTGTCGGGAAAGCAAATATGAGCTGATTTCCATACGGAAGCGAAGCTTGTCTCTCTCAGTCAGTTCATGTGGTACCCATTTGTCAAGCTTTTTCACTTTCCCCATGGCCTTTAGGTGTCGGGAAACAGTGGAATAGTGAACGTTGATGCTGTGTGCAATATCTCGAACTGATAAACGCGAGTCTGCTTCAACCATGTCTTTCAAAACATTGTCATCAATCACTGATAGTGCATGGCCGCGAGGCAAATTGTCGAGATTTGTATCACCAGACCGAAACTTTTCAAACCAACGTCTAATGATTCGGTCACTTACAGAACCTTCCGCAAAAGCAGTGTTTCTGTTTCGCGTTGCCTCGGCCGCACTATGACCAAGTTTGTATTCGTACAAGAATATCCGCATTTCCTTACTTTCCATGCCGAAGAGACAGCGATTTTCAACGATATAAACAATGTGATGAAAGTAAGGTTATGCGTGCGAATTTACGTGTGTGGGGCATATACTTTTCAAATATCACGCATGCAACGACAGCTGCATGAAAAGAGCTGAACTACTCGGCCGGGAAATTTGAATTTTGAAAAACGGCCATTTCATCTGCAACAACCTAATACAAAAGAAGATATTTTTACCTTTCCAGAGGAGGTATATATACAGAAGAATAAATATAGCCACTATGCTCTATTCACGCGATAAGATAATCTAAGCTACCTGTTGAATTGACCTGACAAACAATAACTAAGAATAAACGTTCGCCGTCTTATCTTATCGTAGTAGAACATCGTAGTCTGTAATAATATCGTAAAAATAATACGGTAAAGGGTGGCATCGAGTATGTTTGTCCGTTTGTTCTGCGTATGATAAAGTACAAGAGAAACGATAGCTCAGGCGCGCTGATTTTTTCCTCATACTTTTTTCCCAAAAGAGTTGCACTTTTACGCGTATGTCAAACGAAGCGAACAGGCTTCATTTTCACCCATTATCCTTTTTCATGCATTTATACACGCGTACGCGCACGCATACGTATATACACCAAGTATCACGTTTGAAAATTACTTGGAGAGGAATTGCAAAATCCGCACGGGTACCTTGCAACCGGCTCAATCATTTCTACGCATTGCCGATTGCTGCGTGACGTAAAACTAAAGTAAAAACCGAGGTTAAAAGTGGTCTATAGCGAACTAGACCGCGGAGATGCTTGATGTCGCCGACGAGAATAACAAATAAATCAACCAAGCCTTTAAAAAGCGTTTAATTTCGAAGCACGTATGCACTTTTTCTTCGCGCACAATTCGACAAGCGTCACCGTGAAGTCGCACTTCGATCTCAACAAAAACTTTGGAAAGACATCTTAAGATTACATTGACGAACGCTGTCACGTGCACATGACTTTATTCCAGAACAACACCAGAACAATATAAATCGAAACAATACAAATCGAACAATATAAATCTCGTATGAAGAAATATTTCTTCGCGATAACAATTCACAATTGTAATGATAATTCTAATTAGAAGACGTCTTCTCTTCTCCAACATTTCCTAAGCATATTCCAGATATCTTTCGCAAGTTTCGGCTAATTGAGGCATTCCCGCAGCGAACCTGAAACATTACCTTGAAATATTACGAGGAGCGGCGAACAGACGCGCGAACTGTATGATTCCTGGGAAACTGTATGATCGTCGTTGAGAAACACTGTAAACGAGGTCATGACGCGAGCGAAATACATTATATGCCGTCGTCTTCGAAGCTGCTTCGGCAATTCAGAAGAGAGAAGGAACGAAGACCACCCCGTGTCGTTTGACCCACCGAAATCAAATCAGCCGTCGATCGCCTGCGAAGGTCTCAGCGACGTCGATAGGAAACGGCCGCTGGAAAGACAGGCGGTTAATGCCGTTATGTGCGTGATGTTTGTGTATGGAATCATTACGCGGCAAGGACGATTTATAGGGAACTCTGTTATCGTGTACGTCATC